AGACATCATTTTCTGTGTTAAAGGCTCAGGATCCAGAGGCTGACGACACAAAAGAAGAAACAGGTACTGTAAAAAAAATTGGCTCATCATAAGGTTGAGGTGTAGATGTGCAGTGTTAAGCTTGAAAATGCAAACACTTTGTTTAGTTTCAACCAACAAGAGAGACTGGAAGCCCAAAGGGAATTGCTGACTTGGTGTTGAAATTTGTTTAGCCACATATGATCTTGTCTTTGTTCGTTTGTAAATATCGGTCAAGTTACCATATATCTTCTCACACGCTCGCGTGACTGTGGTTAACAAGTTGATTCACACTGCCAGCAATTCAGTTTCAAGGTGAGGGAGGTTTAAGGTGTGCAGGTGATTGTAGTGTTTCTAGGTTGCCACGCGAAGGTCAAGGCAAAGAAGATGCATCAAGATTTGTCAACTCTTACGACTTTTTAAAGACGGTGAATCATAAATCAGCTGGATAAGAAGCTGCTGGACTTGAGCTGAAGGTCTGCTCACTACCAATGGACGCTGGAAAAGTCTCAAAGGCTGAAAGAAGATGGAGTTCAGCGAGCCTCCGGTGTACTGCTGATGTTGTGGCTCTCTTCAGCACTCTACTCTTTGTCTGTCTTGGATCAGGTGAAAAGAGTGAAGTGGTTGAGCTTGAGAAATGAGTTTTAGCCCCTTTAGTTGCTCGGTTGTCCCAACAGCCTTTGGGCCCTTTTCCAGTCTCTCTTTAGGGTCATCGTTTTAATACATAGTTCTAAGAGCACAGGCCAGTGGTCATGACGTTCCTAATCCAGGCCTTGCCAGTTCCTCGTTAACCATTGATGTGTTTCAGAAGTGATTAAACTATGTGCCATTCTATTCCTGTTAAATCCGTAGAAAATGACAAAGTAGCCGGGTCTTGTTTATCTGAGCCGCATAACGAAGATCACCACCAGAGCCACGAGACGAGCCCTGAAGAAGACCAAGGAGCCACCGCCGGAGGGGAAGAAAGTGTGTCCGACACAGGTGCCCAGTCCAACGTGACTGCCGCTGGAGATGCGGAGGGCAGCGGGGATGTTGTGGGGACTGATCCCAAAGAGGTTGGGGAGGAACAGAACGCCCCAGAAGAGACAGTTGACGGTGAAAACAAAATGTCGCAGGCTGTTAGTGTAAGCAAACAGGGCGGCGAGGTTGAAACTGTTGATTCAGAAACGGGGGCTAAGAAGGTTGAGGAGGATGAGAAGACAGAAGAGAAAGCTGCTGCGGATTCAGCCTCGACACTGAAAGAGTCCTCTTCTGTAGAGGGCGATGATCAGAAAAAGAGGTTTGTTGCTTTCTGTATACTAGAAACCAAAAATGGTTATCTCTGTTGCTTTGGCCCCTTTGTGCTAGCAAAATTTGGATGCTCTTTTGGAGGTAAAAACGTTTTGTACATTTGTTTTGGTTTGTTTCCCCCATTTTTCCATTCCTTGCACTCACCCGTCCCACTTTATTATCCATTAAAAACCTAACTATTCGGATTGCCAGAGGATATAACTCCATTTATTCGCCAGTACATCACTGCACTATGGTACATGTTGGGTTGATCGCTGTAGGCAATGAGAGATGCTATATAACAGAAATACAAACATGTGTGCCAGAAGATCGTGGATGTCCTCGCCAACATCCTCACCGTTGTAGGTTGATGGCTTTTTTCCCCTTCTTCTCTAGCGCTGAGGAGAAAGATGGCAAGACCGAGTCGAAGGATGAAAAGGGTGAGTAAATCAAATGGCTTCTTTGTCTTGGTGGTCTTGTTTTCAGTGGCTGTGTGCTCATTATTTTATGGTGCACATGTGTAGGTGCTGGAGCTGGGGCCGCAGCAAGCAGCAGCAGGAATCTGTGGGTCAGTGGCCTCTCTTCCACTACCAGAGCGACTGATCTGAAGACGCTTTTCAGCAAATATGGCAAGGTTAGTCGATTGAAAACGGTCTCTCACCAGTGTCGCCAGACAGTTACTTTCTGCATGGACGCAACAGGAAATATTTATGGGCTTTATAAATGTCCTGCAGGTTGTCGGAGCGAAGGTGGTGACCAATGCCAAAAGTCCCGGGGCTCGCTGCTACGGGTTTGTCACCATGTCATCCACAGAGGAAGCAACCAAGTGTATCAGCCACCTTCACAGGACCGAGTTGCATGGCAGGATGATCTCTGTGGAGCGGGTGAGTGTGGACAGAAGGACGGCTGATTTTAGTATTTATTCTA